CAGGGAACGTCCCAGCTGAGTCAGGGCATTAAAACCTATTACTGTACCTGGCACCAAGACACCTTCCAAGAATATCCCAGAGATCATAGTCCTAGAAAATTAACTACTTTATACCAATAAAATACCAGCTCAAAATACACTGGGGAAGTACCACTTTTTTCTTCTAACAGAGATATGGGCAAAACTGCAAGTCCTTTGAAAAGGAAACAAAATGCTATGTTTACTCCTTGACTTAATCTTCTTCATTGACTTACATGGTCTTTCTTTTGGAAAAAAAAGTTTGCTTTGGAACATTTTCTATGATATACATTCCTGAATGCCTGTGAAAGTCAACTTCAGATGGAACTGCTGAAATTATTTGGTACAGTCCCCACAGAGCTCTAACCCCAGTACTTCCTCAGCATTAGGGCTTTAACCCACACAAGTGGACACCCTACAACTACCTGTGGGAATCTCAGAAGGGAAAGTGTTAAAACTAGCTCAGTAACACTGACAAGAAGCAGGGCTAACATTCACCCTCTCTATCCTACAGGTCAAAACATATTTCATACAGTCTCTTTGGGATTGAGCTCAATCCAGCTAATTTTCTACTACGTGGTAGCAATCAACAGCAGAACCTTTTGCCATGTTCTGTAAGCTCAGTCAGGTTTCCCCAAAAACAGCCAGGATACTATCATAGACACCAGGCTGTCAGCTTTCAGAACAAATAACTTCCCAATCTGACTACTTCCAAAAAGGAAATCAGTCAGTCTCTTATGTGGAGCTCCACTGAAAGAGAACCAATAAATGCTTCCTGTAAACACCCAAAGCTTGAAAGGACAGAGTCATGAAAGCATATCTACCCAACAGGGCCCGACTAGAAACAAGATGACAGCCTTTCATGATGAGAGACTCAGGAACAGGTGAAAGAATGTAAAAAACTGCAGCCTGGACACCACATGTGTTCTTGCTGACAATCACTACACAAATTATTTATTCCCCACACCAGTTAGGTTTAGTGCCTATTTCAAAAATATCACAGCAAATATGAAAGTTGAAACAAAACACTCTCGGCAACACATTTTTTGTGTTGAAGCCACTAGAAAGCCACAAGAAAAGAAGAGATCATTATATTAATGAGAAATGGATTATATATTTTAAACAACTATTTCATTTGAGGTGGAGGCATTTCCAYTCACATTAAACACAAAGCACTGTCACTATCACTTGTTTTTGATGGCCGGAAATCTGCTCTTTAAAACGCATAAATAAATCTCACCGAGCACATGCAGAAGCATCCAAAARTAAGTCTGAATAAAAGATTGCTTTCAAAGGATCCCTCTGCTTTGATGCACTCTAACCTTCTTCAGGGGGAAGCTGGGAATACCATGACTAAGCTGGAGTGTTTTGTCTAAGCAGAGGAAAGCTACTAGCAGGAAGAATTACCAACCTGTYTCCACATGAGACACCCTGTAGCTACCACCAGCCCAGAAAAAYTTCCCCCAGTCTGTATTTCACAGTCACTATTTCATAGTCTGTACTTCCCAGCCTTGCTCAGGTGTGCTTTTTCCAGTGTTGACAGTTATGGTGGACAAAAAGTTATGGTTGACTTTCAAAAACAACTATAAAGAAAGATTTTATTAAAATTAGATATAATAAATATTAATATCTTTTATAAATGCATGGGGTTTCYTTAATGCACATCAATCTACATTTGAAATTTTGACATTCTCGATTCTAGCAAATTTAGTTTTCAAAGATCACAGAAAAAAACATTAAGACAGAAGGCTATTATTCAAATCACTGGACTGAAGAAGATAACTCTCTCTGCACATGATCCTCAGCTYGGTCAAGCTTTGAGGTCAAAGCTCAAAAAATGAGGTAATGAAAGACGTAAGTWGTACCTGTAAATAACTGTACAGGTACAAAGAGAATTTTCTTTTCATCCCCTTCCACATTCAGCTCCCAGCCACACTCAATGGCTAATTTCTTGAAACCGGAAAAATTTACTTGAAAATTGGAACTCTATTCATACACTGGAGACAGAAGACACTTCTAAGGTCTAGATTCCTGAAGCTCACAGTAACCAAAAAAAATAGGGCAGCTTAATTCATCATCTATCTTCCTCTGTCCATTTTTAAAGAGACAAGCTTCAGTTTATTTATCCATGTAAAACACAGTGTGTTTTACATCGTCTGCCAAAACAAGAGTTACAATTCTGAAAATCAGCTAATTAATCAAATAGACCTAAACACTACTCAGTTCTCTTAAAAGAAAAAAAAAAAAACAACAGAAAAACAGGATACCAATTTCAAAAAAAGTTTTAAAAATAAAGTAATACATACAAGCACATAGCATTTATGTATTTTTTTATGTATCTACACATATTTAGCCTACATTGCATACAGGCTAAAKACCTCATGAAAGATTTCTTTCTTCTAGTTGGCAAGATTAGAGTACAGCATACACTAAAATTTTAAAAGTAACAAATTCTATTGTTCACCAACTATTTCTCTTCTAGAGTGCCCTTTGTAAGCTAAAGCTTTTGATACAAACCAAGATTTAAGTAAGATTATTTAAGCTTTCTGCTTACTGATTCAAAACTCCATGTGTTTACATTACTCCCACCCTATCTGTAACCACAGAATTCTGCTGATAAGATTACCCAACAGAAGACAGCAAGAGAACCACATCTATCATGTGAGAAATTAGAGACAAAGAAAAAAAAAAAAAGCTATCCTGACTGACTTGTGAATACCAAGTGAAAAAAAAAAATCAGAGAAGACAGCAGTAAAGTTCTGGCAAAGAATCTCAGTGACCAATGTGTATTTTCTCTTATAAGCTCTTATAAGCTCCCCTACTGAACTCCAGCTTCCTGCCTGAGCTGCTTTAAAACTCTACAACACTTCTTTCTAGGAGAGTGAACCTTTCAGCAAATTAGATTGCTTTGTTTAAGTGATGGCAAGCACCATGTCTTTTAACATAATAGTTATTATCCCAGAATGGTGTGCTACATGGGAAGGCATAGATGTGCTGTCTTGTATAACCTGTGATCTGCTTCTAGTCCAGTGTGGGGAAAATGAAGTTCACAGTCATGCTTTTCTGCAGCCATCCCTCAGCCACCTGGAAGYCTTCAACTCTTCTGGGTGCTCMAAWCACGGCAGGATACKRCTTYTCTCAAACAAASCCCTTGTCATTTCCTGATGTATGARRAATATCTTTGGGTGACTAMATCTTTTGCTCTTTCTGTGCCACACAGTTCCTCACCCTCACATGAAGTTTGTCAGACAAGCCCARGATTTTCCATTGCTCAGGAAGGGGYTCTCTTCTCACTCTCTCCTACACGGGGTTGTGTGCACATTTCAGATATCCTTCAGCAAGTCTCAGTGCACACAGTTGAGGATATATAGACAGACTGAATAGGAAATTTCTCCTTTCCCTGCTTTTTGTGCTTCCCTAGTGGGATTCTTATCTGCTTAGAAAGGGGAGTCTGAGTACATTTASACAACAGCTGGGCAGAAAACCTACAAGAGAAGGGGACAAACTTCCTCCATAAACTCTTGGTGCAACAATTAAAGAGATGACTCCTGCCATTACAGAAAATCTATTCTAGCAAAAGACAATTATTTACCAAGGGAACACACAAGCACATAAAGCACTTGGGCTGAAGGTGGAAAGCTCAAGGAAGTACAAAAGCGCTAGCAGCCTTTTATGGGGGAGGACTACCAATCTGGAAGCTTTCAAAACAGCAGCAACATGGTTTAAAACAGTAGATCTTCTGCTCTTCATATTTTTTTTATTTCATCAGCCCAAATACTCTTGTTTCTTCCTAAGTCTCACTTTCTATTTTAGCTCTTAGATCACAATTAATATCTGCAGACATTACACAGCTGAAATCATACCTTTGTCATAAACTGAGCACTTGTAGATGGATTTCTTTTAAAATATTTATTTTATCTTCAAAGGACAGTTGCTAATGCCATTCAYTGTGATAAAATTTGATTCTTTGTACTACTTAGTTATCCTGCTAAATTATATGCAGCTATAGAATAAAGCCCTATGTTTTATCTAGACACATTCCTCAATTTCAGAGTACAGGAACTATTTCAAAGCTGTCACAGGACAGAATTATTTTCGTTGAACTTGTAGAACTTAAGGCAGCCAAATTCAGCATATGTATTTTAAAACACTGTGAAGTTTGAACTTACCTGTACAGAAATTGCCATGTTGTATCCCACCAGCTCCTAAAAGAGAATTTAGCAGGTTCCCCATTTTCTTTTCTCTCAGATTAAAGTTACCAGGCCTTACCTTTAGCTGCTGTTCTCCCCATGGTAACACTTCTGTGATCTCCCCTCTCACAATAAAAAGGCTGAAGTTGAAAGACCAGTTAATTCTTCCTTTCAGCACAACAGTTTCCTGTGGAGCAGTAATACAACAAGTTAGGGGGGAGGTTGTTGTTGGTGTTTGGGTTTTCTTTTTTTGGAAAAGATTTTTTTTTGTATTGGTGTATAATTATCTTGCTGATTTTAAATTGTAAATGTTTAACAAACTATCTGTAGGAGAGCAGTGTGCAAACAAGTATTATGTAAAAATAACAAGGGTACCAAATGCAAACTTTCATGTCATCATTTTAGACAGTTCATTGTGTAATGATTTGCACCTTCTGTGGATTTCTAATACAAAGAAATATATAAAATGTGCTTTATTCCTGTTTCCCCCCAAGAAACACTACTGGAAAATTGAAGACTCTTTATGCATAACCTACTCATCCTGCCTCACTTGCACAGAGTCAAACAATCACCAACTTAAATACCTTTGAGTAAAACACATTATTCTGCACAACTACAGTTACTAATGTAAAAAATCTGCACCAAGGCCCAAACGCTCACTGATAGCCCTGCCTATGATTTGTAACAGACTCGTAACAGTGCACAGAGAACTGCTGGGGAAATGCAAACTGCAGATAAAAGCACTGAGCCACATTCTTGCAGGGTTTRGAAACTGGAAGGGACAGACTGGTTAAACTAGTATAAACCAGCAAAAACTCTTTTTTGTGTTACTGTGAATGTCTACTCCAGCATCTAGTATTTTAAATCGTTACTGTGTTCAAGTCAAACTAATTTCAAACATTCAGCCTTGAAGCAACAAAGCCAGGAAGTTTATTATCATTCTCCATTTACTTTTCAAGTAATAATGGGTAAATACATTCAAATTTCGGAATCATGTTCTTGGATAACTTCCTTTCAAGGAACTTCCACGAGGTTTAAATCATCTAAAGTTTGAGGAGTTTTTAAAATTTAAATATGTGCATACTTTTYCCACTATTAATTTTGTGAAAGGTAACGTTTTCAGAATTTCTTTCCACTGTGACATAAAAGAAGCAGTAGTTGAAAAGCAGGTTATCTACTTGGAATTTCTTGACTCTTCTACTCACTTGCTAAAATAAAATAAAATACACATATATATCACATACAAAAAGAAAAGCATCATACAGCTATTTTCTAGAAACTGTCACACTTTACTGGAACTTCAAGAAACTTGCACACTACAGTGATGGACTGCATGATGAAAACCTTATACTGTGCAAGGTCCATGGCTAAAGCTAATTATATGGGGTTTTTTTAATGCCAGTGACTGATGAATTAATTTCATGTGTGTGTTGTCTGTGAACAAGCCAGACAGTTATTACAAAAACTCAAGACCCAGACTTGAAAGGAGTTATAAATAAAACTGAATACTACCATAAAATAAGCAGGTTTTGCTACACAATAGCATTCGTAGCATAAGTGATCATCAGGATTAAGAACAGAAATCCTTTTAAGCCATCAAATAAATTTGAAATACTTGATACTTTCATAGACTCCCCCAAAATTCAAAGCTTTTCCATTGCAAGTAATAAATCATGGAAGGTGATACAGAGTCAAAGTAACTGTTTTTACAGATTACTTTAAAACAGCGAATGGTTTTTATCTTTTTGTTCCAAGTACCAGATTGCACTTGGTGCAGTAATAAAGATTCCAACCCTGCAGTGATAGTCATCAAGTTTAGCACAACCGGAGCGTCTGTGAGAACATAAAAAGGATTCCAGCTTTTCATTAGCTTGTGTTGTACCAGATAGCTGTTTTACAGCATGCCCACCAGCCTGTTAAAAATATAAGACAACTGAAAGTTCTGAAAGAGCTGTTTGAAATGAGGCAAGCCTAACTGCAGGAACACAATATATTCCTGTTTCCAAGAGGTACTACTTAAAACTCAGTTACACCTAAGTACTCAATTTAGAGCTGCTATTGAATTAGCTCACAGACTGTGCTGTTTGTCACAGAAAACATCCAAGAACGGTATTTCTGAGCCTCTATCTAACAACCACTACATGTTCCTGAACCACAGCAAAATTCAAACCAGTCACCTCCAAAGGAGGGCAGTCAACCTGAAACAAAGTGTAACTTCTTCTGCAAGGGCAGACCTAGGAATTACTTTCAATGAAGCTGCAAACTGTAAGCAAGGGAGTTGTGCCCTTTGCTAACCAAGACAGAGTCCCTTCTGTCCCATGCACCATCACCAGCCTGGCTCAACCCAAGCACAACCACCACAGAAGAGAAGCAAACCACCAGTGAATACAGCAAAAACACCTCCAGAGGACAGGCTGGCAAAATCATGCAGCAAGAACAGAACACAAGGCATTCTTGTAGAGCTGCCTTGGCAAACAAGTGAGAAAGCTGGGGTAAAGAAATTAATCGAACAGTTTCTAAAAATCAACGAAAAAATGAAACAAAACAAGGTCAGGAGAACATAAGCAAACAAAGCAATGACAAGGCTGAAGTGCAATGGCCTTAAGAGTGCACAGAACAGCAGACTGAAAACCAAAGTTACTGAGCTGAGCACAGAGGTTGTCCTTCACAGACAGAAAACAACCAAGCTATTCAAGAGACTGTCAGTAGAGAATCCAGTGAGAAACCATTCAATGTAAATTTAGRAAAAAGCAAAAGGGGAAAACAAAAAATCCACAAACCTAGGATATAATTATCAAAATGTCTTCAATCCAAAGAGCATTCAAAGGATATCAACAGTCACGAAGTGTATTATTTACATCACTTAGATCTCAATTCATTCTGTAAACTGTTTTAGTCTTTCTCTGATTAACAYCCCTTACATCAGTTACTTTTTAAAATATCAGATAGAAACCACTTATGTGCCTTTAATTCCTTACTGAAGTTTTTATTGTTAATCTCCAGATCACTTCTACTAGCCACCKCCCATTGTGCAAGTCCTTTGTCAGAAAACATTATACTAATAGACAAGCCTAAGCCCTCACCCTCTCTACATTGCAAGTACATAATATAAGGTGTCAGAAAACAGGATGGAAACGTTTTTCCTGCCTAACTTTGCTCTCTTTATTTTGAAAGATTTACTCAAAGGACACGTATTGCCGCATTTCAAAGAAGTATTCTACAGAACATGTCAAAATGGCTCTCTGTTTTGCCTGCCATGCATCTCCATTATCCTTCTCACTGTTAGCAAGACATTCAAAAAAGCCAAATGTCCCGAAAAAAAAAAAATTCATGCATATCTAGGGCTTCCCTAGTTTATCTTGACAGCATGCCTGCTCATAAAAACACACCAGAATTACAGAGATAAACATAACATTGAAAAGGAGCCTAAGGGAAGAGGAGATTGTGGGTTCAGTCTGCACAAAAAAGATTACAATTTTTCTGTCAATGACTCTGCATCTAAGGCAGGACAAGAGACAGCAATTTTAAAGCCTGTTAGCTTTTCTGACCCTACCACYGGTACAAATGCAGTAACTCAGACCTCACCATTGGCATCCTCACGGCTGGGTCAGTCGTCACCGGGCAATCTCTACTCTGCATAAGGACTGAGGCTTTTCTTTTACACAGAGACACTGCACTGAGAAGGAATCTAACAGAACATCCACTTTAGAGCATCAATTTTAGTTTGAAATAAAGGCAGACATTTCTCAGGCTTAATATGAACACAGAGTTATATTTGCCCCCTTTTTCCCCCTCTACAAATGCTTCCAGATTCAAATTCCATATGCAAGGGGGAAAACCAATTACACATAGTTTGAACAGCAAAACCAGTTATAAAGAGAAAACAGGTACAGTGTAAGSTAAGCAATACCTTCCCCTGCCAATTTTGTCATTTGTACAAGTTTTACACTGCTTTCACCAGCAGCATTGCTGTGCTGTTACGTTTAGAAACGCTGGCCACGCTCCCATCACTGCTCTGTTCCTCACTGTTTGCTGCCTCCAGGGCTGCAGAGCCCTTCCAGAAAGGACCTGAGCAGCCTCCTCCATCAGCACACAATCCAGCAGCCATGGTTCCAACTGCACATTCCACTCATGGGGAACACCAACCTACAGGCACCAGTGGCTTCCCAAACAAGTGAGACTCAGCTGCGTCACTTCAAAGCCATCCTTCATGAACCTGGAATAGCTTTTCCTTAACCTAATCATCTACTCATCTGTCGTCTCTTAAATAAAAACCCCTATTTCATACCGTTTTCAAAAGTCTTTGAGGGGCTGAAAAGATATAAACAAAGAGAGTAAAACTTAAAATGAGTCTTTAAATAAAATACAACACTTCCAAATTTGCAATACTTTAAAACACTTTCCAGCAAACTACTCGGCATGTAGACTTACCCAGTCTACTTGAAGACACAACAGCATACTTCCTTATTTCTGTAACAAAGATAACCAGTCTACCTCCTAGTGCATACTGTCACATCATTATGGGAAACTACGATCTCAAAGACAAAAGGAAGAAAAATTACATGAATGTATCAGAACTTCAGGAAATCCAGCAAAAGCTCTGTATTTGTAAACTCTGTATTATTTAGCATTACACGTATTTGACTTCAAACCAAAGCATTAAAAAGTATTCTTTCATTTATGCACACAAATATATAATCCGTCAGTGTTCTGACAAGAAATTTGATCTGATTTGGAATCCCTTTTAGATCACACTCTTTGTATTAAAAAAACAAAAAAAGTTAAATTCTTTAAAGGAAAGGAAATTAAACTTCCACATTTTCACACAGCTGATTTTCTAATAAACTGATATATCTGAACACCCCCTTTAGTCACTAGAAGCAAAGCTAGGACAGACAGACTTTTGTCAAATTTCCAGGCTTTCAAACCAGCAAATATTACCTAGCCACATATATCTTTATAACAACTAAGCCTGAGTATTTCTTAAGTTGTTAAAGAAAGCAAGTGGATACTTAGTGCTTTACAAATATATTTCTGTACTGTCATTTGCTTTAACATCAAGAAGAAATTTTCTGCACTTGCAAAAATGCAGAAAGTCACCAGCAGTGTTGCTCASTATTTATKAAGTGATTAGCATAAACAAACTTTYAAGCTGTCAGCAGTAAAATATTGCCTGTAAATGCTCTG